CAGTGACAGGAGCATACACCACATGAACATCCTCTTCAAGTTTCTATACAAAACACAAAACACATAAGATAAGCTAACTTGAAGCAGGTTGAGACTGGGTTGTCAGTGTTTTTAATTCAGGGTCCATATGTTACATTAGGCATCAAGTAATAACGTCACAGTGGCAAAATTGTAATTATTCAAAAGTAAAAATCACATATTGATAAGAATAATGAAATTGACAAATTTGTAAATGCATAAATAACAACAGCGTTGACAGTTGTGGACGCGGTGTCAAAACAGACCTGTGACCCATTTCTTTAGTTTTCACACTGCCTTTGACTTCCTGACTTCAGTTCACACAAAGAATTTCACACGAGTCAGAACCTCTTTGTGCAATCTTAATAAATATGTTGGTGTATTTTGATGTGAGGACATTTTCATTGGAAGAACTGTTATTATGGATTATGGACTTGTGTTAATGCCACTTAATGGCTTGATGGATTGGTTTCTTCCAAACATGATGTTATTTGATGGACTGGAGTGGTGTGGACTACTTATGGATTATTATGATGCTTTTCAGCTGTTTGGACTCTCATTCTGAAGGCACTCATTCACCTTAATGATGTTATCTGATATTATTAGATATGAACATATTTCATATAGAGCTGTATAAATGTAATATGTTAATGTAATCAGTTGACAGGAAATACTTCATCAGTGGCTCATATTTAGCTTTGGAAATATCTAATTCTTTAAATGAAACCGTTAATCTGTTACTTTCTTAAATTACTACAGTTTACAATGAATTTCATGAGTATTATTGGATATGAGTCAGTGTTTCTCATACTGAATGAAGATCTTATGGCTTCTATACATATCTGACGTGTGTAATTGTGTGTGATAGGCCAGCATACAGAAGAAAACACAAATGCGCACATCTAAATCTGTCTCACAGATGAAATCATACAGAGATGCACAACATAAATTAGAAATGAATTATCTTACCGATTTATGTGCATTTCTTTCATAGGATGTTGGATAATGTAACATAACAGCAAAAGTGATCGTGTCTTCACAAGTCTGAACTGTTTGAACAACATCAGATTAAAACAACAATCTCAGTCTTATTTTTTTACAACATATTTTACTAGGGCTGTCAAAGTTAATACATAAACTTAAGTAGGTTTAACACTGCACTTTTTAAAAACTGCGTTACCAAATTTAATATCACATTTAAATAGTTTCCACACATACACATAAAAAGACCCCAACACATTATGCTAAAAAAATATTATTTGTTTTTCGTGTGAGTGATATGAATTTTAAAGCGCTGACCAGTATTATTATAATTGTCGAACCCAGTATGTACACATATTATTTTGTTCTTTCTATAAAAAGGAGATAAATGCTAAACATTAATTAATTTAAGTAGAAATTATTTTTAAAGTATACTATTATTTGTTTTAATACTTGTTAAAAGGAGTAGGTAATACTTGCCTTTTTGATCAGTTTTTCTGTGTTTCCAGCAAATGCAGCACATCCCGACTGCAGCTACAATCAACAGAGATCCAGCAGCAGAAATCAACACTATCAGAGAGCCTGAGCCTTCTGGAAGACCTGAAGCAGTGTTTTGATGATGAAGAGAGATATTAATGTAAGTGAATGTGAACATAAAAGCAGCGCTGTTGTACCTGAACATGTGTGACAGAGTTGTCTGATGTCCAGATGTGTGGTCTGGTTGCTGATGGGATTGTTGAGCACACAGCTGTAAGTGTTGTTATCCTGATATTCCACCTCCAGAGGTAGAGAGAGACTGATGCTGAGATCAGACACACTGATGCTGGACAATAAACTGTTTCCTTTGTACCAGGAGAGAGTCACATGACCCACATTCACCACTGAACACACCAATGAACAATATGATGATGATGAAGATGATGAAGAACATTGTGAAGAGTCTCTGCTGATGACAGGAACAGGCAGACGAGCTGAAAACATGAGATAATAAACTAAAATGTGGTTAAATCTATACAGTGATCTTATTTTCAGCATTGTATGTTGACGGTCAGTGAGTGTTTCTGTCATCTCAAACTATAAAATGATAATTTTATACAAGTATATTACATTTTAATGGGTAAATAAACTGTTAATGTTAATATTTTCACCCGTTCCTCCAGAAAAAAAAAAATTACAGGTTAAAGTGAGGCACTAGAAGTGTGAATATGGCTGATTCATAAACATTAAAGTTCCCAGTGTTTCAATACTAAGGCCATAAGACATGAACAATGGGTGTTCATATTTTATATGGTTAAGGATTTTATTAACACATCATAAACCCTACAGCCTTGTAAAAATGATGGTTTAAACATGTGTTCAACTCAAATAATGAACACATTTGAACAGAAAAATGCTGTCAAAAATAATGACAGGACGAGTGATTTTTCTGCTCACCATAGACAGAAACACTGTATGTTTTTGTTGACCGTCTTGCTCCAATAATCTTTACTTCATAGAGTCCAGCATGTTGAGTTGTGATGTTTGTGATGATCAGAGATCCAGTCTGATGATCCAGCTTCAGTCTGTCTCTGAATGTCCCATTAACGATTTGTTTCTCTCTCTTGATTATAGCTATGAGAGCCTTTTCAGCTCCAAATTTCCACACTATGTCTTCATTTTGATGTATTTCAGTAATATTAGTGTTCAGAGTGACAGAATCTCCCTCCATCACTGACACTGACTCAGCAAACACACCTACAACATGAACAGGTTTTTGCACAGATAAAGACTCTTGATGGTTTATAAAACCTAAAATCATTTAGTTTGTATTTTTTTTACTATGAACCGAGAGACATCCAGAACAGCAGCAGACGCACCGAAGCAAATGAAAGATGAAATATATGAACAGACAGATATGTGTCAACCAAACATTTAATCTTTCATTTGTTTGAAGGTTATCTGCTAGTCCAAAATCAATCTGTAAAATTGCATGATTTATTTTTAAAAATACATGCTGAAAATTTCAGCTTCATTTTTTTTTATCATTAGATAAAACACGCTCACTGAATCTCACTATTTGTGTTCACACATTTTGGTCATTGTTACTGAAGATTGATTGATTGATTGGTTGATTGATTGAAAAATGTAGCTGTGGTGGATTTGTATCCAAATTAACAAAAGTTAATTACAAAAGTAGCCTATATACATTTATTATAGTAATATCCATTATTTTCCAAGACTTTTCCAGATTTTATTTTCATGACATTTCCATGCCTGGAAATTTCGATTTAGCATTCAGAACGGAGACCTGAATTCAAAGTAAGTAGATCTCGCAATGATAATAATTAACCTGAAAAATGAAACAAAGCCATAAAAATGCTTTTGGTACTTACCAATTTGGCGCCACCAGCACAAACAAAACAACCCAAGTGAGCGAAACATTTTTTACAAGTTCAGTGTCTGATTTAAAAAGACTGTCTGCTAAAAACAGCTCTGTGTATCCTCCCCTAACAGAGTTTGACCCTCCTAGTTCACACACCACGTTTGTATATGATATAGTGTTATAGTGCTTCTGAAACTTTAAGACTTTAACTGTTCTTGATGGGTGAAATATCCTTTATTTGTATCATTTAACTTCCTTTTGAAATGTAACTATGTGTAAATATATGACTGGGTTGACTAAACGTTTTTACATATTGTGTGAATTGTGGATGAACTATATTTCATGGTAAAATAGAGTCTAACCCTCATGATTTTAAAAATGTTGTATTAATACATTTTATAACAAAACAAATATGGTCTTTTCTGGGGTCTGAGTCAAAATACCCAAATACAACCCGAATTCCAGAAATGTTGGGACGTTTTTTTTAAAATTTGAATAAAATGAAAACATCCAAATCCCTCCTAAAATCTCTATGACTGCAAAAATTCTTCCGATCTCTGTGCATACTCAGTTAGATTAAGTTTAAGCATGGTGATGTGGTCATTAACATTATTATTTTCTTCACCTGTAGCCTTAATATATACATACACACACACAGTATATATATACTTTTTATGAAGAAAAAAAGTGCCTTAAAGCACAATTAAATAAATACCATTTGCCTTAAAGCAAATATATATTTTGCCTTTTTTAAGAAATAACTTGAAAGATATTTGTATCATTAAAGGTAGTCTTGTGTGCGGTCTAGACTATGGTTTGAGTCCCAGCTCCTGGTGCTTACCAGCAATGGCCAGTTCCTGAATAAATCCCTCATTAGAGTTGGTTCTTTACATTGAGTTGGTCAGATGGATTAGCAATATTCATGTGGTTCGCATTAAAGTGTTGATGATCTATTTCAGTTACAACCTGTGTATTTCAGTGAGAGCAACCATACATTTCTTTTTTTCATACAAGCAATTTTTATGTGATTTATCATTTGGCTTATTTCATTTATTATTTAATTGTGTCGTTTTTTTATATTTTTATATTTTTCTAATACCTTTTTCCTTGCTCTTGTTTAGTCTTATGGTTGTGGAGTTTCATGGAACGTTTGTGTTAAAGAGAGAATATTGTAGTTTCAAGGCTTTATGGGATGTGAAGCAATCTGGTATAACAATATTTGTGAGCCCTGAAACATACAAGTTTATTCTGTAAACTCTGCTCATTTTTTTTTATCATCACTTTGCCTCCTGCTTCTTCTCTTCTCTGGCTTTCAACTTTTTTTCCCTTTCAACTCAGTCAGATTCTTGGTTGATAGAAGACTGTTAATAGTTTTGGGTACCAGAAATACTGTTTTTTAGGTACCAGACATGACTTGCTGTTAATGGGTTTTCCAGACAGGACACATTCACAAGGGCAAACCATGAAGTAACGTAAATGAACGAAACAAACCGCTGCATCTTGAAACAGGTACTTTTAAAATGACCATTAGATACCTTAAAACTGTGACAGAGAGTCCTGAACTCCGGCCAGTGGCGGCAAAACTGTGTGCGCGTTTATAATGATGATTACGGTAATTCTGACAGAGGAAATTGTTTTGTTTTGTTTTTCTTTCGGTCAGAAATCCTCGGCAATACTCGCCACACAATTTTAACAACAAAGGGAAAAGACGAATGATGCTTCGAGTTGAATGTGAAATGTTATTTTTGACATATGTCTAAGCTTTAGTTAGCCTACTTGTCTTGGAAATATTACTTTCACTTTCATTGTTTATGTTTTTTGAGGGACAACAGCATAGGGACAAAACACTTATTTCCATAGAAACTGCGTTCATTTTGTCGTGGAAAAGTGTTGAAAATGACGGCCTGTATTTCGATCACATTGTGTGCATTCTTCGTGGCTGGTAAGACATTTCAATTGTTCAACTCTCTCTTCCATAGCCGTAACGATGAAACCAAAGAATGTGCTATGCAAATACTACAGGCTACATACATGCACAATCATATGCATTGTAATAATAATAATAATACAGTGTCCAAAAATCGATTTCAATAATAGCAAAAAGCAGTGTTGGGGAAAGTTACTTTTAAAAGTATACAACAGTGTTCCTCAAATCTTGCCGTGGAGTGCCTGTGCGTTCAGTTTTAATCCTGATAACCAGTAGCCAGAATTAATTTTCAGTGTAACTGATCACTGGCTAATTTTGTTCTTCAAACAAGTTAGTGGATTAAATTGAAATATCTGGATTAAGTTGTCTGAGATTACTCCGTGTTGACATGTTCATTGGAAAAGGCACGTATACCGATACTCAAAACCATGATCAGCAATGCAGTGATTGGCTGGCGGCAAGACAGCAACGTAATGACATTGTATAATTAAAATCAAGAAAACAGCCCAGCAAGCAAAATTATTATTTCTTTATAAAAAAATGTTTTCCTGGGTTAATAAGGTACTTTTGTAAGAAAGCAGCAGTGGCTGGGACAGACTTTCAGTATCACTTTCATTTTAAACGATACAATCTAATCCTGTTTACATGAAATAAGATGCTCCCGAGCAGGTTTAAGCTAATGGACCCGTTACTATGACATCAACTCCAGGATGAGCATTGAAGAACCTAACAATCCTGGATTATGTCAAATCATCAACAATAAAATCTGCATAATCCATGTATGAAGAATGGACCACACACCTTTTCCCTTTGTTTGTTTTGGTCATGTGCTCCTCTTGTCCTGCCTCCTCATTTTCCCTTGCCACACACCCTCTCGTTTAGTCCTTGCCCAGTCCTCATTCTGTTAAATTCTCTTTCTGTTTACACTTTTGTCAGTTTGTAATTTTGAACTTTCTTTTTCTTGTCACTTTTCTATTAAAATTTTGGGTACGTGTGACGTCACACAGCCAAGAATCTGTGAATGGCTTGATTTGAGAAAGGGGTTATCATTTATCGGGATTGGGAAAAAAAACAAAAAAAACTATGATTTTTATCATTGTCTGTTGTGTACACACACTGCCAAGACACATTTCAAACAACATGTAAAAGTGAATTTTGCATCCGATGACCCCTTTAAAATATATATTTTTGAGTAAATAAGAATAATTAGAAGCAGATAGAACAGAAATAGAATAGAGCGTGCTAATGTTAGAGCGTCACTTTTTCAGAGGACTTTTATGAAGAACAGTGAGCATTTTAAATGCTCAGGGACTCATGAACAACTAGCACAAAACAAAGAACATCCATCCAGATAATGACATGCAGTATTAAGAATCAAGCGTATGTGAACTTTTTCATTTGTGTTCAATCTTGTCTTGTGATCAATATGTGAACATTTATTATGTGAGGTCGATTAGTCAGGGCAGTGCTATAAATAATATAAAAAAGATGCCTTTACTTTATTAAATTATTAAAATTTTGCATATTTTGCAAAGGGTATGTAAACATATGAGCAGAACTGTGTTATGAATCATGATGTGTGTTGCGTGTTGTTCATTTAGTGAAGGCAATCCGTGAGACTCTTGTCTAATGAGTAAATGTGTGAATCAATGTTCTTCTGCTGTTTGTTAGCATGTGTTACATTATGAATCCAGACATATTTCTTTACCTACTATCTGTAGAAGAACATTTTCACAGCACTTTGCTGTTGTGTAATTTTGTTTAACTAATAATAACTGTTAATTTATTTTTCAGGTGTGCCTGGTGTTTGTACATATTATGGAGTGTCACAGTCTGTGATGGAGGGAGAATCGGTGACTTTACCCTCTGGTGTTGAAACGAACAAACAAAAAAAGTTGAGATGGTATTTTAATGACATTCTCATTGCTGAAATCAGTGGAGATCTCGGTTATCGTTGTACAGATGTTCAGTGTAAAGATTCTGATAAGAGATTTAGAAACAGATTGAAGCTGGATCATCAGACTGGATCTCTGACCATCAAAGACACCAGAACCACCGACTCTGGAGTTTATAAACTAAAGACGATAAGAAACAGCGGAGACAGTGTAAAGATCTTCATTGTTACTGTGCATGGTGAGTCATTACGTTTATGCTGCTGCGCATCTGTGTTGCTTGGTAGCCTCTCTTCTAAACATCCCTGAACTATATTGCTGTACAAAATGTAAATTATTTAAATTATGAAATTATAATATTCTTGTTTTATGACATCTTGCCAGGTATATGAAGTAATTATTTTATGAAAGCAATTAGCCCTGTGAAGTTTGAGGCACTCGGCTCTGCGTTGTGCTTAGCGACGCACTTGGCTGTTTTAAAATCACTGTAAGCCATGGCCTAACAGACTTATTGCTTTAATTTAGTTCAGTAAGATTTAAAGTTGATTTGTTTTTAGTCTTAGCAGTTAGTTTTGGTTCATAAAGAGCTGCATTTGTATTTTGGTCTAAATTAAAGGGATAGTTCCCCCAAAAATGAAAATTTAATTACTCGCCCTCATGTCGATCCAAACCCGTAAGACCTTCATTCATCTTCGGAACACAAATTAAGATATTTTTGATGAATCAGAGAGCTTTCTGTCCCTGCATAGACAGCAACACAACTACCAAGGCCCAGAAAGTTAGTAAGGACATCGTTAAAATAGTCCATGTGACATCAGTGATTAAACCATAATGTTATGAAGCTACGAGTAATGACTTTATTAAACAATTTATACTCTTCCATGTCAGTCTGCAACACACGTTCACCAAAGTACCAAGATGCATATGTGTGCATTCCTCTGCTTGCAAACAAGGCTGTGTCAGCAGCACCACATGCATGCATTGTGTACTCTCGTGAACATGTGAATTCCTTTTATCTATTCCTTTTATTAAACTAAAAATGTCTTTGGGGGGTCAACTCGCATCTACTTTCAAGGTGAAGCATTTGGCATTTTTCACAGCATGTTCCTGTCATTTTGATCGGCTTATAATAACTGTTCATTTCTTCTTCAGGTTTTTTCAGTATTAATACAGAAGAAGAGTCAGCATTTGTGATGGAGGGAGATTCAGTCACTCTACACACTGATGTTAAAACAAATCAACAAGAAAAGATTAGATGGTATTTTAATGATGCTCGTATAGCTCAAATCACTGGAGATCTCAGTTTTATCTGTACAGATGTTCAGTGTGAAGAAGGTACTGAGAGATTCAGAGACAGACTGAAGCTGGATCATCAGACTGGATCTCTGACCATCAGAGACATCAGAACCACAGACTCTGGACTTTATCGTCTACGTATCATCAGCAGCAACAGCATCAGTGAAAAGATCTCCATTCTTGCTGTATATGGTAAGTCATTATGTGTAAAAACAAGTCATGTACATTAAAATGTTGCCGTGACATTGTGGTTTTCTCTTTATCTGTATATTAGTTCATATACAGGTAATTTTGTCAAACGCACATTTACTGTTGAAGTGGAATTTGTATATTTAAATATATCTTTATTTCAGTATGATTCAAAACATTGCTTTTTTGCTTTTCCTTTATTAATGGGATAATTTAGTCTTCTGATGAAGATGAAAGTTATATTATTGTCTGTTTAAATGCATCTGTGCATCTGTTAATTTTTCTTAGTTCATCAGGAATCCAAAGTGCAGAGGATTTGATAAAAAAATGCTTATTAGCAAAATTTAGGATACATTTTGGTTTTTAGACAAAGTAAAGAGGATTCCACAGTTCACTCATATACTGTGTTCTCCTCAAAAAGATCTTCCAGCAGCTGTTGGTTTGTGTTTCAGATGCTCCTGAGCAAGATCAAATGAAGAGAAAGTCAGTGAAGGAGGGAGAATCTGTTACTTTAGGTCCTGGTGAAGTTAAAAACCTGAATTATTTTATGAAATGGTATTTTAATGACACTCTCATCGCTGAAATCACAGGAGATCCCAATAAAACCTGTACAGATGGTCAGTGTGAAGATCCTGATGGAAGATTCAGAGACAGACTGGAGGTTAGTCAGTCTGGATCTCTGACCGTCAGAAACACCACAATCACAGACTCTGGGCTTTATAAACTACAGATCAACAGCAGCAACAGAATCAGTATCATCAAGATATTCAGCGTTATTGTCACTGGTGAGTATCATTAGCCATTCCTTGCACATTCCTTTGCAGTTTTAGAAAACCGTTTGAAATATGTAAATCAACCCAGTGAAGGATTTCATTGTGGGCTGTTAGAAAGAGTGAGCTTTGGTTCAGTGTTAAAATATAACTGAGATCATCTCAGTCACCTTCACATGCTTATCACATTGAGTTTTGTTACATTATGAATTTGACCATTTTCAAGTCTATTGTTGGTAATGACAGAAAGGCATAATATTAGTTAGCTGTCCTGTAAACGCTGCTGTCTCTTGTTGCGGTTTTACCTGCTGTTCATCAAAAATCCACCAGATTTATGAAATAAATCAATATCATACTGGTGACCTAGAAAAGTGTAATCTGCAACACACGTTCACCAAAGTACCAAGATGCATATGTGTGCATTCCTCTGCTTGCAAACAAGGCTGTGTCAGCAGCACCACATGCATGCATTGTGTACTCTCGTGAACATGTGAATTCCTTTTATCTATTCCTTTTATTAAACTAAAAATGTCTTTGGGGGGTCAACTCGCATCTACTTTCAAGGTGAAGCATTTGGCATTTTTCACAGCATGTTCCTGTCATTTTGATCGGCTTATAATAACTGTTCATTTCTTCTTCAGGTTTTTTCAGTATTAATACAGAAGAAGAGTCAGCATTTGTGATGGAGGGAGATTCAGTCACTCTACACACTGATGTTAAAACAAATCAACAAGAAAAGATTAGATGGTATTTTAATGATGCTCGTATAGCTCAAATCACTGGAGATCTCAGTTTTATCTGTACAGATGTTCAGTGTGAAGAAGGTACTGAGAGATTCAGAGAGAGACTGAAGCTGGATCATCAGACTGGATCTCTGACCATCAGAGACATCAGAACCACAGACTCTGGACTTTATCGTCTACGTATCATCAGCAGCAACAGCATCAGTGAAAAGATCTCCATTCTTGCTGTATATGGTAAGTCATTATGTGTAAAAACAAGTCATGTACATTAAAATGTTGCCGTGACATTGTGGTTTTCTCTTTATCTGTATATTAGTTCATATACAGGTAATTTTGTCAAACGCACATTTACTGTTGAAGTGGAATTTGTATATTTAAATATATCTTTATTTCAGTATGATTCAAAACATTGCTTTTCCATTGATTATTTATTAATGGGATAATTTAGTCTTCTGATGAAGATGAAAGTTATATTATTGTCTGTTTAAATGCATCTGTTACTCAGTTTATTTTTCTTAGTTCATCAGGAATCCAAAGTGCAGAGGATTTGATAAAAAAATGCTTATTAGCTAAATTTAGGATACATTTTGGTTTTTAGACAAAGTAAAGAGGATTCCACAGTTCACTCATATACTGTGTTCTCCTCAAAAAGATCTTCCAGCAGCTGTTGGCTTGTGTTTCAGATGCTCCTGAGCAAGATCAAATGAAGAGAAAGTCAGTGAAGGAGGGAGAATCTGTTACTTTAGGTCCTGGTGAAGTTAAAAACCTGAATTATTTTATGAAATGGTATTTTAATGACACTCTCATCGCTGAAATCACAGGAGATCCCAATAAAACCTGTACAGATGGTCAGTGTGAAGATCCTGATGGAAGATTCAGAGACAGACTGGAGGTTAGTCAGTCTGGATCTCTGACCGTCAGAAACACCACAATCACAGACTCTGGGCTTTATAAACTACAGATCAACAGCAGCAACAGAATCAGTATCATCAAGATATTCAGCGTTATTGTCACTGGTGAGTATCATTAGCCATTCCTTGCACATTCCTTTGCAGTTTTAGAAAACCGTTTGAAATATGTAAATCAACCCAGTGAAGGATTTCATTGTGGGCTGTTAGAAAGAGTGAGCTTTGGTTCAGTGTTAAAATATAACTGAGATCATCTCAGTCACCTTCACATGCTTATCACATTGAGTTTTGTTACATTATGAATTTGACCATTTTCAAGTCTATTGTTGGTAATGACAGAAAGGCATAATATTAGTTAGCTGTCCTGTAAACGCTGCTGTCTCTTGTTGCGGTTTTACCTGCTGTTCATCAAAAATCCACCAGATTTATGAAATAAATCAATATCATACTGGTGACCTAGAAAAGTGTAA